CGCTTAGCATTACACGATTTTATATTTTGTTTGAGCAAACTATAAATATTATCAAGAACCTCGCTTAACCCTGGCTTAGCCCTGGCTAGATCTATATATTAGAGGTTTCAAGAAGAGGGTTATTGGGCAAAATCAACATGGAGTTTTTTTAATTTATCCTGTTTTTCGTCCGGTAAATTTATTAACAAGTTCCAAAGTTAAAGCGCATGGGATAATTCATACAGTCAAGGGAAGTTACAAGCAAAATGTCTTTCACCAACAAAGACACGAAAGAAATATATTTTTTTTTTCAGTAAGCGAATTTTCTCGTTAACGATGACTGTTGTGACGTACACCTCCACAAGCGCAACTAAACAAAAGCATGTGTCTATCTTAGGGGATGGGCCCGGTTCCTTGAAAGATGGAACCAGGATTAAGCCAAATTTTAAGCCAGATTTTCTTGTCTAAGAACATGTCACTCGAGCTTACAAAATACTTTTTTTGTGTCTTAACTCCGAGATTCAGTAATGATAACCATGAATTTTACTCTAGGTAATACATAGGAATTAGGTCTGGATTAGCCCTGATCGGCCTTTCAGGAACCGGGCCTGGTCGTTTATTACCTGTGAGGTGGGGCCGGCCATTTTGCTGGGGGTCATTTTCAAATTCTTGATTGGTTTTGGGGGGTCATTTTCAGATAAGTGAGCGTTTCCTGGGGGTCATTTTATACATTTCATCAAAGTAGTACAATGCAGTGATGAGTATGAATTGAAATTGAATGTAACAGCTGAAGAGAGGATAAAGCTCTATCCTCTCTTGAACAGCCGTAAATAGTCAAGACCGATTGTAGATAAAGTATGTGGTGAGCTTCGGCAGGATTTGAAGCAAGAATATTCACCGTACTTTCCACCGCAGTCAGGCGGGGAGGGGGTCACTTTCACAATATGTACAATTTATGGGGGATAATTTCTAAAAAGCTATGAAGAATTGGGTGGTCCGTTTGAAAATCTTTTAAGCTTCCTCAAAATGGCAGGCACGAGCCTCACAGGTAATAAACAACTAGCCCCTGTTACGTTCCTCTCGATGAAAACGTGGTCGAAAACGGATGCGTGAATATAACTGTTATTATAATTTGTTTTTCAGCAGTTTAAAGCATTTTTTAGAGATGATATCAGGAGCAGGGAAAAAGATGAGTATGAAAGGTGTAACGAGTGCCATGAGAAAGATCAAGAAAGCTGAAGACTTAAAAACACGAGGGAAATTTAGGGAATGCATACATGCTGCCAATGAAGGGCTCTGCATTGCCAAAGAAATGGGAAATAAGATGGAAATAGCAAAGGCGTGCGAGGTTCTATGCGACTCTTATTATGAAGTCAAGGAGTATAAACAAAGTATTACCTTCGGAAAACGATCATTACATATTGCCAAGGAAGTGGGAGATAAAAAGCAGGAAGCATTATTGTACTATAACCTAAGCTGGTCTTATTATAATGCTGGAGACTACAAAGAAAGCCAAGAATACGGCAAACAATCAGCGAGAATTGCCACGGAATTGGGAAATAAGGAACTGGAGGCCAAAGCGTGCCGCGTTCTTGCTTGGTCGTTTTACGAGGTTGCATTCTATAAACCAAGCAGAGAATACGGCAAACAATCTTTGAGTATCGCCAAGGAAGTAGGAAATAAGGAACTACAAGCAAAAGCGTGTCATATTCTAGCTTGGTCGTATTACGAGAGTGAAGAACATAAAAATAGCCAAGAATATGGTAGGCAATCACTAAGTATTGCCAGGGAAATTAGAAATGGGGAACTGGAGGCAGAAGCTTGTCACGTGCTAGCATGGTCATGTCATAAAGTTGGTGACTATAAAGAAAGCGAAAGTTATGGCTATCAATTACTGCATATTGCCAAGGAAGTGAAAAATATGGAACTGGAAGCAAAAGCGTACCATATTCTGAGCTGGTCGTATTATATGTTTGGAGACTATGAACAAAGCAAAAGATTTAGCAACCGTTTATTGAATATTGCCAAGAAAGTGAATAATGGAAAGCTGTATGCAAAAGCGTGTTATGCTTTAGCTTGGTCGAATGATGCGACTAAAGACTACAAAAACAGCAAATCACACAGCAGAGAATCACTGAAAATTGCCCAGGATGTGAGAAATAGGGAATTGCAAGCAGCAGCATTCTGTGCTCTAGCTTGGTCATGTTACAGGGTTCACCAATTAAGAGAAAGCATAGCATACAGCAAAAAATCACTGAGGATTGCTCAGGAAGTTAACAAAGGGGAACTGCAAGCAAAAGCATACTGTGTTTTAGCCTGGTCGCATAATGCGAATAAAAGCTATGGACAATGCGAATTTTACAGCAAAAGGTCACTGGAAATGGCCAAGGAGGTGCAAAATGGTGAACTGGAAGCAGAAGCATGTATTCTTTTAGGCCGGTTGTACCGCTTGATGTCCAAATTTAAAGAAAGCGTTGAATACAGCAGACAAGCGCTACAAATTGCCAAGGCAGTAAAAAATAAGCAATTGGAAGAAGAAGCACATATTGTTCTAGATTGGTCGTACCACTCGACACACACAGTTGAGCACGGTAAGGATGACTCAATATAACGTTTTTGTTAAGTCCTTTTAGAAACTAATTTTGAAATGATTTATAAATAAAGAGCATTATTTTATCAGGAGGACCTGCTGAAAGTGAACAAAAAAATATCTCCACACTATTACAGACAACAAGCTACGATACAACTGAAATTATCAAAAGATGTGCGAAAATTCCTTTCACACACATCATGAAACAAACAAGTGCTAGAACAAGTAAAATTCTGTCCGTACACGGTTCGTCCAGCTAGCATTGGCGACCTTAAGTTTAGGTGGACGGCGACGTAGAGGACGGTGACTTTGGCCGCGGCGGCTTGGGGAGGGACGACGTTGACTAGGCGAGAGAAACAATAAGTTTCAGTAGAGGTGACGGTCGAAGCCGCTTTTTTTAACTTTATCGCAATTGAAGGTTCGAGAGAATGAGTTCCCTGAAAGAGATCCGAGAGATTTTGGTATATACTTTTATATGATGGTGTCATATCAGATGAGGAATTGGTTCTCAGTGAAATCTAGTTGAGCGCTTTGTTACTCGAAAGAGAATGTTCGTCGCTTCATTGAGCATATTTGCGATCTACGTATTGCGGCTGGTAATCGAGCTTACACGGTTCTGGGCCTGAAGCAGTAGCGTTAAATTACAAGAATTTCTTTAGCAAGCTGAAAATCGTCATCCTTAGTCCACTCCACATTCTTAAAATAAGAACAAATTAATACGATGGACAGCTTGTGCGCGATAAACAAGCCGAGTTCCTTCATCCAGCTTTATCAAGGGGTTTATTTTGTCGAATAAATGAACAATGTACACGTAATTTCATTTTGGCCTATAACGTAAGCAGAAAAAATGAACTAAATACTTCGTGAATAAAGAAAAGTGTAGAAGCCGATGTTCAAATGATGCGAGAATATTAAATGTGATAATTTTATCGCTGGGAATTCTAATCCTGCAGCTGTACCATTTGGACAAATTCAGTGTACTGTATTCCATCATCATATAATGAGTATTTGAAAAAGGTTTAGATCAGGAAATACTAAAACCATTACAACGATGAAAAGGACAAAGAGAGCAAATGACTTTTTTACTTTTAGGTTTTCTTGATTCCAACTATTATTGTTATACTTCGCTATACTCATTATTGTAAATAGACTTAATTATTACTATCCAATTGTAAATTGCACTGTTTATTCAGTTTTTAACTGCCAGAAGTGTTAATAAACTATTATTATTATTATTATTATTATTATTATTATTATAACATTTGCCAGCCTCGTCCCCAGCCGCTTCCTCTGTTTCCTTTAGAAAGTGGGACGAGAAGGAATGATGTTGAACATTTGCCTGTTTCACGGCAGTTTCAGGGTATGAAGGGCATTTAGCAAACATTTTAAAAAAAGCTGTTGACACACGTTCAGTGGTATTTATGCTGGTCTTGCTTTGTTTTAGGCAGAAACTCGGCTATTTCCTCTTTGCACAACGTGTGAAATTTTTCCCCCATTTTTTCCATCGTTGCCAAAACAGCTAAGCTTTGGCGCCTTCTGCTATCCTTTTTTTTGTCGATATTAAACAATTATTTGATGAGGTTTTTGTGATATCCGGAATAATGAAGGTCAAGGAAAGTGTTATCAGCCGAGCCGAAGGCCGAGGCTGATAACACTTACCGAGACCTTGATTATTTAGGATATCACAAAAAAAACGAATGCAAGGAACTTGAATTGATATTTTTATCGGAAATCATTAGCTGTAGGCTTTTTAAGTAGCCAATGAGAAGACAGATAATGAGTGCAATGTATAGTAATCTGCACAATCGGTGACAATTGTACTGATATCTGCAAACGTCTTTCAAATTTGGTCAACGTTAGCTGGATAGGAAAAAGAAACGGAGAAAATAAATCGCTGTGGTGCAAATGCTAGTAGGAGCTGTCTAACTGCAGCATTTTTAAATGCTAAAACTGTAAAACTGTTAAACTGTTTTAAAAAACACTTTGCTCATGGATACTTTTATGGGTAAAATGAATACGATTTTTAATCTAGACGAATGACAACAAAATGTATCTAAAAACAATAAAGGTTCTTTGCGTTATCTTCCTTTCTTCTGCGTTTTGCTCGACCCTTTCATACAATTACAATCCAAAACATCTGTGACGTAAAACTATATTACAACTGTTTTATATATTTAGTTCCGAGCGAGATCAAAGCACGAGGACCAGGAGCACAGATTGCCTATGAAAATGCTTTGAAGACTGGAAAAGTAAAGGTGTATCGAACCCGAATCATGCTAATAGGTCAAGATCGTGCGGGAAAGACAAGTTTGAAGAAGTCCTTCTTGGGGCTACCATTCGACCCTGAGGAAGAAAAGTACTGACGGAATCAGAAGTTGACCCTCGAAATTCAAAGTAGACACTGATCTAGTAAAGAACTGGAAACGCACCGATGAAAAGTTGGAAGTTTCTCAATTTGCCGCTGATCTTGCAAGGATGGTGGCTAGAGAACTCAAAGAATGCCGACGACGAAGAAGAAGGAGATGAGGAAATCAATGGCGAAGACAACGAAATCGAAAACGAGGGAAATGTTAATCTAGTCCAGGTAAACCAAAGAGGAGTAACTTCAGAATACCTAGCTCTCGGGTTAAACTTACTGCTACCGCGGTTCCTAGCCCCGTAGTCGCTTGCTTGAGTATCAGACCTATCTTAAGGGGTTAGGGAGAGGAGATGGGAACGAGGTTGCTTTCTGCTTCTCAGTCTCTTCCCCTTTCCCCTGAAACACCTGATATTTAGGCTACGTAGTCGCTAAATTTAAAATTGTCTATAATTGTGTGTAAATGTCATGCTTCCGCAGTCCTTAGTCCAGCGGTCGCTTAATTAACAATTATTCCTCGAGTCCGGCCGAATCAGAGGCCATGAGGGCGAGAGGAATAATTGTTTTAGTAAAATCTAACTAGTTGTTAAAAAATATGGAGAAGAAAAAAAATTTAGCTATTGAAAGCTAGACTTTAATCCTTTTTTGCCGCCAAAAATCCCACGCTTTTCGATACTAGTGGGCTATAACATATAGCCTGGTAGTAGCTCAACCAATCAGAATGCAGCATTGCTAATAGACCACTAGTTGGATTGTACTAAAAGTAAATAGCCCACGTTCGGTATATTAAAATTCTAATATGACTTAGCTGATGAATCTGAGGCTTTCTGGTTATTTTTCTATATTATTTTGGTTTGATTTTCTTTGTGCTCAAGTCTCTTCTGGGAATTGCGAGACAATGCATATGGGGTCGTGAAAAATTTGCAATTTTGACCCTAAATCCCTAAAGCCTCGGAGTCATCTTAGAATTTTAATATATCGAAAGAGGGCTATTGGCTAAGTGTTTAAATGAGCACCGCAGTGGCAGGATATGATGAGGAATATTTCAGAGAAGTTTAGCCACCAATGCACACAGCACATGTTCCTTGTGGTACTTGAAAAGCAACTCCAGGCTAACAAACAAAACATTCTCAGGCTCGTACTGCATGTAAACATAACAAAGCGTCGTTGACTTGGTAATTATGGGAAGGCCCTGTTTGTTTATTGCCTGATTTCATAAGGAGGGGACTAAGTACTAGTGCACATACAAGGGATTATCAACAGTCGAAAAGAACACACCCAGCTTTACAAAATCCTCCAATGTGGTTTTAATCTAGATACAACCATTCAAATTCTCGAAAATTTAGTAAGATATGTATGAATTGCCGGACACATTGTCCGGACGTCTATATATCTCTAAAGCCTCGTGCAAACGGACGCGACATTGTTGGATGTCACATGTTTTATCCGTTTGCACACCCTATTGCATGTAGTTGGGAGTTTTTTCCCAAAGTTTTAAACTGATCAAACGTTGAGCTACTTGAAAACGGACGCAACAACTCCCAATGTTGTTGGGAGTTGTTGGGTCTGTTTGCACGTAGCTTTAGTAAATTTCTTGCGCTTTTTTATTTGCTGTATCTCATGCCTTATTTGCCAGATAAACTCCAAACGTGAGTATTTTTCTCGGTGTGCGCTTTCTGACTTTGAGGGCCTTGTGTTGATAATACACGACTTGTACCGAATCCCCCAACGAACACGTATGACATTAAGCAACAGCTGCGCGGCCGCGCTTTGTTTTTGTGATTTCTGGATTTTCCAAGAATAGCATTTAAAAGATTTTGGATACAATTGGTTCCTATTAAATAGGTTTGTCTTTATGGGCTTATCTTGTAGTTTGGATTTGACGATCCTCGAGAACTTCAGGAACAAGAAACAAGTATGGAGCTATTTATGGAAGAGAAACCAACCCTCTTTAACTCTCAAATGAATCAGGTCAGTTTAACCCCCACCCCCCCCCCCGTGAGTTTATATTTTGTTCCAGGAGAGGGGCATGAAGAGACATCCTTGTTGGAGCGAGTGTAAACATGGCAGATCAGCGCTTCACTCCCAGTGGAAACTCCTTTCTCACAGTTGACTCAATTGTAAGGATTAGCAAGTGTAAATCACTCAATCGATTCACACTTCACCTGCCCGTTACCACCAGTATGTAACCTTGTGCCGCTTTTGACTTCATATTTCTGTAGGGTCGTAGACAACATTTACAAATATTTTCTGCAATGGGCGAGATCTCAAGAACCATAACCGAATGAGCGTGATTCAGTTAAACGGACTACTTTGTAGAAAATGAAGCCCATTTGGGCTTGAGGAATAATTGTTAAAAAGTCGTCAGGGAAATGCCCCAAAATATAATCAATGCAACCTCGTCACCTGGGCTTCTTTTCTTCCAAGGGAAATGCCTAGGGGATGAGCTTGAAAAATAACAGCGAGTATTTTACGCCCCTACCCACAATTCTCTGTCTAACCCAAGCGACAGTTATTTGAAGTCAGTGCGCGCGTAATATATATAAAGCTGGTTCGGTCGACAGAGGGATTGGGGGAGGGGTGGGTGAAAATAACGCTTATTGTCTCCTGCCAGAATGGCTGACTTGCTTATGTTTAGTCATAATGCTGGAATTTGAAAAGTTACTATACAGCCCTGACTTAAAAATGGCACTCATTTTTCTTGTTACGAAAGTCTTCCAATAGGATACAATGTTCAAATGAATTTAGGTTTAACTCTCACATGCGATGCTGTGTCACACAATGGTCAGCAACAAGATTATGTGGTGGCCTGAATGTGTGGACGTGTACAGCGACCCCTCCCCCAGGAAATATCGCCCTTGGCAGCCCAGTGAAATTCGCCTTTCGGCTATTCTTGTTCTGTCGCGTTTGAGAGTATCATTTTGACCTTTTAAAAATCGTTTTAGGGTGCATCTGGTAAAGCCGACGAAAAGGAAGCAAATATAGCCGTCCCAACTGACTTAAAAATCGATCCCAGTTTGCCTCCAGAAGAATTTATGGACCATCTTGTTCAACATTTGAAAGGCTTAGACCTTCAAAGTGAAACAACAGCAGTTGAACATCACATCACCCTTGATCTGTGGGACTTCGCTGGTCAACATCTTTACTATGCATCTTACCCAGTTTTTTTATCGACGCGAGCAGTTTATATGCTCGTGTACAACCTCAGCAAAGGTTTAAAGGAAACCGCTCAGCCTTGTTTCCGACAAGGAGTCCATGAAATTCTTCTCGCTAATCCAAATAACGAAAGCAATTTGGAAAATTTGTTGTCGTGGCTGGTGTCTCTCAGTTCTATGTGTTCATTAAAACCAGACGTGAGTGAAAGGACAACAAAATTGGAGGATCTGCCTTACTGTCGCCCTCCAGTGTTTATTGTAGGAACACATGCAGATGAACCACATCAAGACATCAAGGAAGTGGAATTGCAGATTCAAAGAGAAATAAGTGGAAAGGACTATGAAAGTCATGTTGTCCGTCCGTTCTTTTCAGTCGATAATACCCAAGGTTCATCTGATGACGGAGTTGTCGCACTTCAGAAACGAATGATTGAAGTCTTAAAACAAGAACCATACATGGGAGAGGAGGTACCAATTCGGTAAGTTTTTAGTCAAGAAAAACTCTTGCTCCACATTATTTCTTACAGGCAGCCCTTCACCCTACGGTAGTACTATAACAGTAGTGGGTCACGATAAATAAAATCTACCTCGTTCTAAAGTAGATAATAGTTAGTCGTTCCGGCTTAAAAAGACGTTTTAAACGATTTCCTGCGAGTACAACAACAACAACAACAACAACAAATTTTATTGAAAATTGGATATACTATAACTAATTACATTTCTTTCCCACACGCAAATAGCTTATGAACCAGTCGAGGCGAGGGGAGCTCAAGACATATTACAAGTAAAAGGTTTATCTATAGATGGACTATATAATAACAGTAAAGACACTACTAAACAATAAATATAATAAAGTAACAGAAAACAAAGCAAGTACCTAGGATTACGAAGAGAGACGGAGACTTCATCATCTTCTGACAGCAAGAAATTTAGTAGTAATTCCTTTATCTTTTTACGAAAAGACGCATTTTAATCGAATGAGGAATAGAGTTCAAATTTCGGAACCGATTCTCGTGAAAAAAGGTATACACGTTATCGGTTCCAGAGAACTTAACATAAAACGAGTCGCTAGAGACAGATATTGTTTTCTAGTTATGAATCTGACTTGTTTTAACAAATTGATTGAGTATACTAACTGGTGCTGTCTGTCTATTGATATCCTACAATAAATAGCTACAATCTCTGAAAAAATAGGCTAGGAAGGGGAACGCAATTCGATTTGAGAAAGAAGGGCACGGAGAGTTACGATCTTTCTTTGAAATGTCAAGGCACAGTTTCCCCAACCACAGATACCATAAGTTAAGTAGGGGGCAATTAATGAGTTGTAAGTAAAACACGACGCGGGACGTAATATCGAATCTTAGCTATAATTCCTATCGACTTTGTGATTTTGTGACAGATAGATTCTATGTGATATTTCCATGAAAGATTTGAATCAATCATTAAGCCAAGATATTTTACATAGTCTTTCATTTCAAGGCTTACGTAGGCGTTAGTCACGGAGTCAAGAATTCTAATCCTAGGTATGAAGGGCATATTCTTTTGCCTTGGGCGAAAGATTACAAAGTTTGATTTCTTTATGTTCAAAGAGTTTGTTTGCATTTAGCCATTCGTTGACGTTGCCAAGCCCTCGATTAGCAAGTGATTCGAGTTCCTTTAGGTTGTTATTTGCAAGTATTATACTGGTATCGTCAGCAAATAGATAAAAGGCAAATAACGAATAGGATTTGTAAATATCATTGATGTAAAGTAGGCATAAGAGCGATCCGAGGACTGAGCCTTGTGGCACGCCGCACAAGGTCGTCTCAGCCTAAGCCACAACGTTATTGACTTCCGTAGTTTGCTTTCGATTAGTCAGGTATGATCTGAACCAGGAGTTGATTACACCTCTAATACCATAATTTTCAAGTTAAGCTAACAAAATCTCATGGTTAACAGTATTAAAAGTCTTCTTGAGATCGATGAAAACACCGCGCGAAAATTTACCGTTGTCCATATTTTGGAGAACAGTGTTAACAATGTCAAGTATAGCATAATGAGTACTTTGCTTACTGCAAAAGCCTTATTGCTGATCTTAGAGAATGTTGCAATCTTTGACAAACGTAGTAAGTCTGGAGTTCATAAGTTTTTCAAATATCCTGTCATAAATCGAGAGCAGTGATGTAGGCCGGTAGTTTTCGGGCAGAGTGTCATCTTCGTTCTTAAATACTGGAATAATCTTAGCACACTTTAGTTTAGATGGAAAAATCCCTAAGCAAGTAGATTGTTTAAAAATCGTGGCTAGCGGTACGAAAATGATCCTTTTTGCCAATTTGGAGATGAGTAGACTCCATGGGCCTTGTTGTCTAGCAAAATTGAAAGAGTGCGGCAACTGAGTCTAAATCCGGGAAAAATGGAGATCTATGCAGGACAGACTAAGACAGCATGAATAGGATACCGGGATGCGATTCATCCGTACTCAGACCTTCAACATAGCTGAAAGCGCTCACCAAAAAACGGCCGTTTTTAGATATTGCGCCCTCTCCAAAATCTGAACGTCTGGAACAGGCTGGTTTATAGTGCGTTTTCACTCACGTGGCTAGCGTTTATGCAAATTTATTGGCACAAACGAAAGCCAAAGCATACGAAAAGAGTTCAGCTTCCACAGAAGTGGTTTGGCACATCAACATGGCAGCCGTTTCATTGTTTAGAAACACCAATATGGACGCCGTGACGTCATGCAAAATCTTCAGCTCTAACCGCCTCGTTTAGGATAGGGTGGAAAACCGCTTAGCTTATGTTATACAATATAATAACTTGGTCATCACCTGCTAATCTATCCGAGTACGGAAGAAATTGACGTCACGAAGAATATATTTTCAGGTCTCATCCAGCACTTCCAGCACACTTATGAATATGCCGAAGTGACATTCGGATTTATGCCGAGCGCTGGAAAGGACACGCAAGGTCTAATTTTTGCACCAGATACACTCGCGACTTTTATTGATACTTAAACTGACACTTAATGCTTTCGCTAGTAAGTCCTCGTTTGTTATACGCAGCGAATATTGAATAAGGGAAAAAGCGTGTTGTAAATGGAGACAAAAACCGTTTCCTTAAATACCAGCGATTGTACGGTGCCGCGATATCCATTTTGCACCTAGCCTGCGAACAAAGCCGTCCCTTATCGCTCCTCAGCGCGGCTGGGGACGTTTCTTAAGAGAGAAACGAAACGTCCATAGCGGCGATTTCAGTGAGAAGAGAAGGCTTTATTCGCAGGCTAATTTGCACTGGTTTTGAGGATTAGATTTCAAGTTTGTGTCAACTGGTATAACTGTATTTTATTTGCTTAATTTAGTAGAAGAGATCAATCTTTAAGTGATGCTTAAACTTCGTCTTTAAGCTTTTGTTTTTTTCTATTTTTTTTACCAGATGGTTTAATTTCGAGAAGGTTGTCCAAGCTTTGATTGCTGAAAAGGTACATTATTTAAACCTCGAACAACTTCAAGGTATTATCCAGAAAGTTTGCTTTATTGAAGACGAAGATGAGGTCGCCACTTTGTTGGATTTCTATCATGACCTCGGCATGATTGTCAGACAACGCAACACAGTTGTGCTTCGGGCTCAGTGGCTCATTGAGGTCATCAGGCAACTTATAACCATTCGTTCTTTTAACGAAATGGTAAGTGAAGCACATTCAAGTGTATAAGTGCCCTCCACGGAGAACACCATCCCACCCTGTTATAAATTCTCTGCATCACCATTGCCGCAGAAAAACTGTGGCGGATTCATTTACCTTAATGATGATTATCATGTTTTGATAATATCACACCCACTAAGACCAACTCGGCGTTTTCGTGATGGATTTTCTTTGTTGATATGTGCAGTCATAAAACTGGCTAAATATTAGGGAATCCTAGCAGGGACAATTAAATGTTTGCATTTAGCAAAGCTGCAGACAACATATCCGAAACATAACTTCATTGCAGTTTAGTGATTTTATGTGACATACGAGTTTTAGCTTACCTATACGACAAAACTTCTTATTTATGACGTCAACTTTATTAATGTGTTTCAGCGGAAAAAGTGTATTTACTTCACAAAAAAACTAAAACAAACAAACAAGTAAACAAAAGCCCTTGTGATATTCCTTCGCCGACCTGCCTCGACCAGTGATTTTAGTCATCTGCTTCCAACCATCCCGTAATAGTTTGGAAGCTTCGGATCATATACATTTATTAATGCATCATGTTAGTACGTTATCTGAAGCTTTTTATTACCTCTCAAACTATTATGGGATTGTACTTTCGAAGCCCTCCTCTTAAAGTTCTTTAGGAACTTACTTCACCGCCAAATGTTTTTCCTGATCCAGACTGATTGTGTTAATACTAGTTTTCTTTTTGAACCATGTACTTTATTTAAATCCTTTTATATTTCTTCTGTTGTAGTACCTGAAAAAAAAAAAAAGATCCTGAGTTTGTTCAGTAATAAATTTGACGTTCTGAAGAATTGCCTTCTTTCGGTTTTGTTATAGGAACCGAAACATTCCAAGTTTTGGAAGGAAATGGAGACGACAGGTGCCCTCCACATGGAGTTGGTTGATCATGTGTTCTCCAAGCACTGCCAGCAGCAAGGCCTGATCAAGGAGGATATCCTGAACATGATGGAGCAGTTCGGATTGATCGTCAAATTTGCCACCTCGCCAACAAATGAAATGTACTTTGTACCCTGTCAACTGAAGACGCCACCTGACGCCCTTTGTGACACGGAGCCATCACCGTCAGATCCATGTCCATTGTACCTGCATTTTCTGGGGGGTTTTGTTCCTCACGGTTTCTTCTGGCAGCTTGTGTCACGAATCACCAAATGGTGCTCTAAGAGTGGATTTACGCAGCCACCCAGATTTTTTCTTGCGGCCTCCAGGTTTGTCATAGAGAAGAAGTCAATTTATCAGCTGATTCTTTTGTGCAAAAAGCGATTCATTAAGATCATCTTGACGCATTCAGAGCCAGCCGGCGGAGCATCATTTTCCGAAGTAAGAGAATTGGCGATTCTTGTGCGAACGTTCTTGGAAGAAACAGTACAGGACTTTAGACGTGAACTCCCCTGGTTGGGCAAATTGAAGTGTGATTTTTGTGTTGTGTGTCCTGGCTGTCTGCGGAGGGAAGAAATGTGTTCTTATCACGATGTTGTTTCATGTGACCACGAGGACTGCCTGTGCCTTCTTAAGGTTCTCGAAGAAGGGCAACTCAGCCATTGTCCAAGTAACGTAGACGTTAAAGTCCCGACGGTTTTCGGGCTGGAAAAATGGTTTGCAGCCAAAGGTTAGATAACTTGATACTTAATGGTAAATTTACAAATGTAGGAAAAGGAAATCAGCCCTTATAGTTATTTCAGACGAAAGTAATATTCACCAACGATAAAATTGGTGAAATTATTAATATTTACTTCAAAGTAACTTCACTTGCCAACCAGACACTACACTTTTGCTAGTTTAGGGAAACGTTTTTGGGCCAGGCGTCGACCAGTCGTGTTAGAGGATAAACAACGACTAGAAACTAAAAGTGCTCGTTAATTGGTCGCAACTGACGGGGCGGTCGTATTTAAAGGTTAAAAGGTAAAGAGTCCTTTAACATTTTAATTTGGTAGCTCGAAATTATTCATTGCAACTGACTGACAAAAACTTGGGACCGACGGTGCGCTCACTTTGCCCTCTTCCCCCTCTCTCCATCAATGCTCCGTTTTACGGGTATTTAAAGCTACTTAAAGCCACACAGAAAGGAAAGAAGTCGAAAGAAGGATTTGTGGTCACACCTGGGAATCGAACTCGGGACTTCCCCCACAGAAGGCTGTCCACCAACTGCGCTTATCCTCTCACCTTCCTCGTATTTACCAAGGCGACGTCAAAGATTAAGGGAATGGCTACCTGGACTTTTAGTTTGGGCCAAAAAAGGGGTTGATATAACGGGACGCCTATTCGCTTCTTTGTTAATATTTTACCCTATAATCCTTATGAATAGGTATGCTAACATTTTACAATTCTCTTTAAAATGGCCGATGGACATCATTTCTCTTTATTGCTAACTGCTATAGTCCAACGTAGTACAGTTTTTGTTTATACATATCTATTTTACAGTCAGGTCAGGAATAGACAGCACAGACATTTTAATCGTTTTAACTTTCTCTTTTTTTGCCGCACAGTTGTCTGTCCAGGTTATCACCCTGGTACGGATGATGTTTACAACATGACAGCTCGACCAAGGGGAATAACGCTGATCATTAATAACGCATCTTTTGCTCATCACCCTAAACATGGACAACAGTCACCTCGTCACGGGTCGAAAGAAGATGTTCGTCAAGTTGAAGCGTTGTTTACTGCTCTCGATTTTTCAGTACGAACGAAAGAGAACCTTTCAAGACTACAACTCTTAGACGAACTTTACTACATCGCCCGTGAGGATCACAGTGCTTATGATTGTTTTGTGCTGTGGCTCATGAGTCATGGCAGGAGTGGTGAGGTGTTCTGTTCTGACGGTGACACGATACCTATTCAGACTCTTCATGATATGTTCAGCAATTGCGATACGCTAAGCGGAAAGCCAAAGCTGTTTTTCATCCAGGCATGCAGAGGTGAGGGAGAAGACGAGGGGGTGTCTGTTGCCGCTAATACCACTATTTCATCTTACGAACTGCTTGGTCCCAACCAAGTTGATTCCCCCATCGACGCAGTGAAGAAACCTGCATCCAAAGTACCCACACATGCAGATTTTCTGTACGCATTTTCCACAGTCGATAAGTATGTATCGTACAGGCATGAGGCTCTTGGAAGCTTCTATGTTCGCGGCCTAGTAGAGGCATTACGTGAACGTGCTGTTTATGACCACCTTCTAGATATTTTAACAGTAGTTAACCAGAAAGTCAGTAACATGGAAGCCAACATACCATCGGTGGGGAACAAGAATGAAATCAAAGTCTTTAAACAAATGCCAGAAGTTAAACATACCTTGCGGAAAAAGGTTCGTTTTTAGATCAGTGGTCAGCGTTTATTTAGTTTTCTTAAAAGCCGGAATATTTCGGCCCTTTTTAAAGGGCAGACTTTTATCCCGACTTTTAACTTTCATCGTTAAGCGTCCAACCCAACGTGAAGGCTGAAAGGAACAACAGTTGACAGTGCGTATGTTTTTGCGTCAATTAAAATCTGAGGGACGATTATTTGGATTGTAGTGAGTAGACTGTACATGAAGGATTTGGACACGTGACACGCATTAGCCGGTTGTATATTTAAGGTTGTACAGAGTCCTTCGGGTAGTGCGGTGCGTGTGTGTGTGTTAGTGGGGGGGGGGGATAATAAATAGAGTGTTAGGCTCAGCTCAAACATCAAAATTTTCATGTACGAAACTTAATTCCTATTTAGGTGGACCTGAATGATATAAATTGTTCGATTGATTTTCAAACGTTGAACTTTCACGACGTACAATGACCTACAATGCTTACCAGTCAAAGTATAATAGCTAGAGCTAAAAGCGAAGCTTCCGTTGATGCATTTTGAATGTTCTTCTTACAATGGACTTTAAAGCATTGCAGAAATCTACAGATCTACACTTAATTTTAGGGGAGAACCATATAACTGAAAAACAAAAACTTGAGCCCGCGAACCATTATAAGCCAGCAACTGTTCAGTGTAAAACTTCAAAAACACGTGACCTCGATGAGTTCAGGCGACGCTGGTCAGCGGATACCATGTTTTGACAGGTGCGTTTTCGATGAAAACGCTCAGCGAATTAGTGTGGACGGAAGGTCTAAACGCATCGAAATATTTGCGTGTTAAAACGAAAACGCGTTAATAGTGTGGATGGGCCTTTATTCATGGGTCGACCCACATTTTACATGTCGGATCTCACTGATCAAAACGTTGATTTTTTCTTGTACTTAATTGAAGGGACTTGGCTCGGTACATGAAAAGTTCGACGTTTGATCTTGGCATAAGATGTTCAGACCGCGACAGGAATTAAACAGGTTATTTGAAAAAGCAATAGGCTATTAATAAGCATAGCAACATATATCAGACGTACATCGCACCTTGGCTTCAGAAAGTTTCACGGTGTTGTACATTTTTTAAGCGTCTTTATAGAAATTGACTGTCTGCGATAATAAATTGTTAAATTATATATTTATTTAAAATTTTATTACGATTTACGAAAAATATTAGAACGCCTAACATTTCACAATAGACTAATACTAAGTTTAATTAGTATCAATGACGCATCTCCCCCTAGACGTAACTGCACGCCTCAACCTCCTTTATTGTGGGAAAACGTGCGGTTGCAAAATAAAACTGATTAAGTTAAGGCAGATCAATATAGTCAGGGGTCAGGGTTTTACAGTACTCATAATTGCAAGGGAAGTACTAATATTTTTAACTAGTTACACAAGGCTGTAGTAGAGTTTAAGGAAATAATCTTTAGAAGTTCTATTTTTGTAGTCATGTTGAATCCTTAGTATTTTTATTCGAGTGTCTTCCGTTCCTTACTTTCCTTTTCCTGAATTACAGTTAAGGCCTTCAGGGTAAGATTGTTTTTGTGCAATTTGGTGAATGATGTATTTTTTTTTTCTCATCGATAAACTTACAGTTTACCAAAGATTACCGACTTCGGTTCTTTGTCGTGTAGGCCTGCACGAAAGGTCCCACGGTATTGTATCATGGCGTCAACTCAATAAAACTTTAACAATTGAAGTTTAAAAATGTAAATATTACCTTAGGAATTACAATAGTTTGATCAATAGGTTCTGGACTACATGAACTTCTCACTTTAACGGGGAAACACAGGAATAAAAGAAATCGCTAAAATCGCATCGTATCAGTAAGGAAGCAACATGAGGCTTTTTTCACTCGCCTCTGAGCTTGGGTTTTCTTTGGGAAGACTAGTCTCCAATCTATCGATATTCGAGCCCACATTCATACAGTTAGTGCCCGCAGATTCTCAACAAAACTAAACGTGGCCTTGCGAACAAATATGGCTGCCAAAGAAATCGCGGTTGTTTTTGTTATTTTATCCTCTATTTCTCCAAGCCATAGCGACAACGATGATTTCACTCACAGATGTGGATTTCGACGACAGGGTGTTCGGCTCTTTCACGCATTCTGTAATGTTTTATGGAAGGTGGAATCGTACCCTGATCTGATGCGGCCTACAACACACCTGAAAGGGTTCTGTACTGGGGCAAATTTAATACTAAAAATTGTAATCTTGTCCTTTCGTTTCAGAAGTTGGAAACAAAACCACACTATTTAAATTTGTAAAAGTTGTATCAAATTGGCCCCTACCTAGCCTGAGTATCAGGCATTTCTGGGGGGAGGAAGGAGGGGAGAGGAGGAGGGAGGAGAAGAGAGAAGCGAAAAGGGGAGCCAGAGCGAAGGGAGAGAGACGCCTGAGACAGATACTTTTACGGAGGCCTTCCACCCCCGAACAGTATGATTCATCATTAGCCAATCAACATCATTTGCGGTTTTGCGGTCGTGCTGTTATCAACACGACAAACTGTCTGTCCTGAGTATCAGTCCTTCCTTAGGGGTTAGGGGAAAGGAGGTTTTAGAAAGGGGGGCGGTCAGAGAGAGGGAGGCCTGACCCAAAACACCTTCCTCTCTCTCTTCCCCCCTCCTCTAAAATCTCTCCTTCTCTTTGGCCCCTGCTTTACTGATTCGTCTCACAAGGAATTTAGCCTTGCAGTTTCTTTGCTTTTGAAGTATAATGTCTTAAAATCCCTGGACCAAAATTTAGCCCCCAAAACGTCCAATGCCGAATTTCCGACGGCAAAAGGGAGATCAGGTGACTATATATATTAAAAGCCTGGCGATAGACAGAGACAACAAAAAAATGAATTGAAGTGTTGGTTTACCTCTAGACACTTTGCAGACTTTTGACATGATTGATTAGCGTGAATTTCATCCGATTACTTCGAGTCGTTATTACTCCCTCAGTTGCTGAGAAGAGAAAACGACTCGAAGCAATCGGATGAAATTCAGGCTAATGATTGATTGTATATTAACCGGTTTTATGAAAAAAAAATGGAATTTAGGACGGATTTTTTTTCATACAAAGTCTAACGAACTCCCACAGAGTCTGGGCTGCCTGTAACACTGGAACACTGGATGCAAAACGCCGTGACAGCGGTCTCTGGAAAAACTAGTTACCAGTCTACCGGCATTCGAGCCCACACTCACACAGTTGGGGCCCGCGGAGTCCCAACAAAACTAAACGTGGCCTTGTGGAAAACATGGCTGCAAAAGAAATCGCGGTTGTTTTTGTTATTTTATCCACTATTTCTCCAAGCCTTAGCGATAATGTGATTTCACTCACGACGACAGGGTGTTCAGCTCATCCACGCATTTTGTAATGTTCTATGGACCTTGGTAAGTGGAAGGTGGAATATTGATATCTAGCTCTTGAAACATTAATCTGATGCGATCTACGACACACACCTGAGGTAGTTCTGTCCTGGGACAAATTCAACATTAAACTTGTTACACTTGTAAATTACAAGGCAGCATTTTTTAGCCACGCTTTTATAAATTGCTCTCCTTAAAGTTTTTCAGGTGTATAAATAAGCCCCTGGCTTACTGATTTTTGAGAATTTAGCCTTCAAGTTTTTTTGCTATTAAAGTTCAATATCTTGAAAATCTTTAGTTTATCGGCTTTGGATTTTGCTCTCGTATACCAGCACAGAAACCCTGGAATGAACAACACCTATTGGAACTCAAGACACTTGCTGTGGTGTTTTCATCTAGCTTGTCACCTTTTTCTTGGTGAAATAATACCTGACAAAGCCCTAATAAGGTTCATTGCGGAAGGGGTGCTGCTGAAAAAATTAGGTCCTGGTGTTGTGCAGTATAGTTTTAAACTATTATCCAACCCTGTTTCCTACTCTCACCTGTTTGAGGTCCTCTAACGAGAAGGAGTGGGGGGGGGGTGCGGTCCCTTCTGTCTGAAATATGTAAAATATGGGCGTTTCACATTTTGAGGAGTAGTCCATGTCCTTGTCAGTGTTTTACTTGTCTTAAGGTCACTTGTTGCCATTTCATCTAGTCTCTAGCCTGTGGGGAGCAGACACTTTTTTCGGCTCTTGTTTTACCTGCCAAAAAAATTGCAGAAAAAACATCTGCTCCCCACAGGCTGTCTAGTCTTATGTTGCTGTTTCAAGGCCATGTTGCTTGTGGGTATTTTACCCTAACAGGGTTCTCATCCCTACTCATCCCTCTCTTGCTCTGTAGGGACAAGTAAGAGAGAACACTAGAAAGAGGTTGACTATTAGCTCATTTCAGCCAAAAAATGTGTTATATTTGCCCACCTAATTTCAGACCAGTCTCTCACAAGTGATAGCTCTCTGTTCATAGCCATTGGGATCTGAGTCGCCTTCAGTTGACTATCTAGTTGGATAAGAAAAATTCACTTGGGGGGGACAGAAAGCGAAAAACCTGAGCGAAGGGTGCACTTATCATCCCTAGCTAACACTCCCTCTGACTGCACTTCTCTTCTTAACAATAGGAGACTTAGGGCCTATCTGCATTAGCGAAAAAGCTGTTTAGTTAGACAAATTGTTTTGTCATCACCAATGCTTAACAAATGTAAATTGCTTGTCTCAATTTTACAAATTTTGTCTCTGACAGGAAATCTTCAAAGGCACCGTGGACAAAATTTATCCTGTTTAAAACTGAACAAAATCTTGTAAATAAACAAGAATTGTTTTTCTTGTCAATCATTTGTTGTAAAGCCGTTATTTTTTCCATTAACAAATAAAGTCCCATCAAATCAAATGGCCTGATAAGAGTAAATAGTTTCCTGTGCAGATAAATTTCTTCGAAACAAAAATTGGCACCATATACTTTTCGGTTTAGATGTTCCAAAGACCATTCTGATTTTGTCTGCTAGTGTGGAAAGGCCCTTGGAGACAACTGGGGATGAGTCAGCCTTTGCATACAGAGCCCCCTGCCTGCTGGTGGGTCATGGTGTCCTGTCAGTAGGAAATAGTTTTGGTTATTAACTTATTGAAGCAAAACATTTTGATGATGACCTCATGGAGTTGTTCTGTTTTTCCTTTGTTTTGTGCACAAAATGTAGGTGTGAGCACTGTAAAAATTTCATGCCAACATGGAATTTGTTAGCTGACCACTATGGGAAAATTCCACATAACGAGCTGGTAACAATAGCTAAGGTACAGTGTACTTGAAGTTAAATACATAACCTTTTGGTGACTTCTGTAAAACTCGGAAAACTGTGAATACCACAAATATTTCTGGAATGTTATTGTGTTGCGAGGAAAAAGTCAATCAAGGGTAAGAAAACCAAATGTCAAACAGCAACCTTAATTTAGTTTGTGGTTTTGTGGCTTGTGTGCATGTTCTGATCTTTGTTGTGACTGGTCAAAACACAATCATTTCTGAAATATTTCAGCTGGTTTTCACAGCTTTTTGAGTGTAACAGAAATCTTGTAAAAGTCCTGGTAACAAGTAGCTCTAAGTATTTAAACAGAATTACCAGCTCCTAGTTGTATAATTTTTTGGTTCAATTTTATCCTTGGCTCAAATTCTAATTAAGTTAGGTTTTGGGTATGGTAATCTATTAATGATTAATAATTTATTACTTCAAAAAAGAGGACAAAGTATTTATTTTATTTACATGTAGACATTGAACCACAACATATACATTAGTTATTGTATTCAGATCCGTTGGTACATTTTCTCCTCAGGTGGATTGTACAAAAGAGACTCCTCTCTGTGCAAAACAAAATATTCGAGCATATCCAACGTAAGTTGTAAGCAATACTTAATATAACTCTACAGAAAGCTTTGCTAGACAAATATGTACAAAATGTTAAAGTTTGTGTGAGCTCTTTCAAGGAAAACCCTAGGCTGGCCCATATAATGTAAAGACTGTTTGAGTATTATTGGCTGTTTTGTTTCTTTTCAAAGGTTAAAGCTGTATTATGATCAAGGTGAAATCAAGAGATATAATGGCAAAAGACGCATGAATGATCTTAAAGCTTTTGTTGACAAATTTGCAGGGACATCTGAGGTACACTGTGCATATCCGTACTCATATAATTGCAGGGGCAGATCCAGGAGTTTTTGATGAGGGGAGATGATACCAATTGGACATCAAACTATACGTTAATGTATTTTAAGTTGTCCTATGTTTGTCCTAAAACATGGTGATTTAGGAAGGACGAAGGCTGTTTGACTTCACAAGGTTTTTGCGACCCACGTATTTCTTTATTTGTTTGGGGCCCGACATATTTCCATTTGCTTTTCCCTGTTCTAAAGAGGGGTTGCTAGCCACCCAATCCACCTCCCCTGGATCTGCTCCTGAATTGTATAGGTAGATATCCTCTTGCCCTGGAGAAACGGCTTGGGTTTCTCTTAGAATGGTGTATCTGATCATGATCCTTTTCATCTACATCTGTGACAGAAGGAGAGTGAGTCAGCAGACACAGCTGAAGCAGACAATGGCCTGTATACACTGACTTCGGAGAACTTTGACAAACATGTGGAAATTGGACTACATTTTATAAAGTTCTATGCGCCATGGTTTGTAGAGTCAAGAATAAAGAATACTTTAGCTTTGCTTTCCTCCTTTCTTTGTTCTCTTTTTGCATTAGTTCAGTGTTTTTTTTTTGCAACTCTCTCTTTTTTTCAGGTGTAGCCACTGTCGCAAGCTTGCACCCACATGGAAGGCATTGGCTGAGTATCACAAAGACAATATGGACATCACAATTGCTAAGGTGCAGTAAAATATCGCCGTTATGTTTATTTATTTATTTTGTTTATATGTTATAATTCACAAAGGTTTCCCATCTCTATGCATGTGCAAAAAAAACAATAATAATAATAATAATAATAATAATAAAAATAAAATGATGTATAAAATCAGTGAGGGAGATTAAAAACATTAATCACAGCCCACAGTAATTACTTCGCGTGCGTTTCACGATACTCGACTGGAAAAGACTGGAAACCAATTTACCTAGAAGTAAAGGGAAAATAAACCAAGAAAGCAGATGGCAAAAGCGAGCTTTATACCAAAAAAAACATGAGGTGACCGGTCACTGATATAGCCAGGGGCCAAAGATACTCCGCTATTATAAGCCTGATTCCAGGGTACTTTTGTAGGAAAAAGCACTAAAAAACTTTCAAGCAGTTCAATTCCCCGCCTTCTAATCCCTGTTTTGTAATGGAACACTAAATACCTTCCTTTTTATTAGATCAGCCTTCCGTGGACGCATTTAAATCTGCTGGCCAATAGTAACGGGTGCAGACATTGAAATGAACCAGTCAAATTTCAAAATAGCCCGCGCCAAGCACGGAAAAACGCTTATCAACAAGTTATGTTTTTTAATGAATTCTGATTGGCTGAGAAAGGGGCGTAGGAGTTTATTTAGCCAATCAAAACGCGTAGCAACTCGAACTGTGCACACGTTTAACCGCTTTACGTTTTTTTTTTAATTTATTTTTTTCTTGTAATCTTCTTTCTTACAGATTGATTGCACAACTGAAGGGAAAAAGTGCACAGAGCATAAGATTCATGCGTTTCCTTCACTTAAACTGTTTAAAGATGGCAGAGAGGTTTGTAGTGGCTTGTCAATTTTCAAACTACGCGTGCTCTAGTCTATAGCTTTCTGTCAAAAAGAGCGATCTTTTCATTCGCTCTGACGAAAGGCTAGTGGTTGAACCTAAGCTTTCATTTGTATGCTATTGCTTCACCTGAATACTCCATTTTTTGCACTAAAATGCTCGATCTCCCTAAAAAGTTTCCATAAGGCTCGGATAATGCTCGTCATAAAGACGTTAGACTGCGGGCAGTCTCTCTTTTTCTTCAGATTTAGTGAGAGCAATGCACGCGCGCGGGAGCGGCGAAGCCGTGAGACGCGCGAAATGAGGGCAGCAGCCCGTGCCTCTCCCGTCTCGCGTCATCAGTCACGCGCGTGGCCATTTGCGTGTCTCGCGGTTTGCTCGACGGACGACAGAAAAAAGAGAGACTACTCGTAGTCTATAAGGACATTAGATGTAAGGTCTGTAAAGTACAAGCGCGGTATTTTTGTTTTAGGTGGACAGCTATGAAGGATCGCGTTCGCTTGACGACCTTAAGAACTACTTGACTCTGAAGATCTCTGAACACAGCCTGTTAAGCAGTGCAACGACGGAGAATAGCGAAACAGTTGAGGAGATACCTTCTGATGAACTAGACTTGCAGGTATACATGCAGACGTGTCTAAGGCTATGTTCACACTGTAATCCATACTCTTGCGCCAGCACGAAAACCGTACCGGATAGTGTTTCTGTTCACACAAAAGAACGGTGATTTCGGCGCGATTTCTCTTACGGAACGAAGCTGCGCCGCGCCCCACTCATCTCAAAAGTGGAGCGTCACGTATTGGATAAGTTGTGTGCCACACTTTGGTGCTGCGTGAAAAGGTACTCGGACATTGCCGAAGTAGGAGCGAGAACTGGAATCCACTGAGACGGAAGTAAATATTCAGGTTGAAGATTTGGATCTAGGACACCAAATCCTCACGGCCAACTGCTCCGGCTTAACCCTTTAAACCCTGAGAGTGATCAGCATCAAATTTCTCCTTGTAATATCAATGCTTTGTAAAACAGAGTGGTCATGAGAATTAAGGTCATGATCACACAAGATGAATCTGATTAATATTTTATCAACTTCTCCCCACTACTTCTATGGTAAATGAATAGGGGCAACAAATGAGAATTTAATTTTGATCTTAGGGTTTAAAGAGTTAAATGCGATGTATTTGAAAGACCTATTCCAGTTCCGGGCTGTTTCTGAGTATTAGTTGCGGTATGGTGTGGACATAGCCTAACTTAAAAAGTTTTATAATTTCAATCATTAATAGCCTTACCATTTAAGAAAGTCTTTCGCTCATTATGCTCTGAGTTTATAGTGGAGAAAATGAATATCTTAGCCTCCGTTGGGATTCGATTCGAACACCTCCCATATTCCGGTCGGTCCCTCGAATCACTGAGCCTACTACAGGATCATAGAAAGCTAAGCTGTGTACCTTTTTCATGTATGACGCATGTCCTGTGACACTCTGTATGCTGTTAGGATCATCAGTGTTGGATGCGTCCTTTATGCTCCGTGAATAAGCGACAAAAGTAAAATGTTTATTAAGTTCATCATGTTTCATTTCAGATCAAACCATTTCAGCTCACCGACAGTAATTTTGATGCCATGATCAGTTTTGGTACAACGTTTGTCAAGTTTTACGCCCCTTGGTAAGTCTGTTTTACTAGTGGTAACCCTGTTTTGCTTGTCTCTTGGTAAACTTGTTTTGCTTGCTGCTTCCTTTTAAGCACGTCCCCAATCCTTAAATCCAATTTAAAATATTCTTAACTTTCTTTGGACTTTTTTACGGAAGAATTTCTACTACTTTTATTGTAAAGCGAAATGCTTACAACGTCACCCATTTTTGTTGTTGTTGTCATGGTTACAGGTGCCGACACTGCCGAGAACTTGCACCTGTTTGGGACCAGCTTGCTAACTAATGCGCAGATAGTTCGTCTGGACCAAGAATTGCTAAGGTTTGTAATTAATTGTTAGAACGGGGTGCAAGAAGGGTATAAAGGCTGGTAGCTGTACAAAAGGAATCTTAACTGGCGCTCAGGGCACATGAAAACGGAGAGTTTTTCTTCAGTTTGACGTACCGTCCACACGTCACCGGTGAAAACGAACATCGGAAACGCATCATTTTACAAATGCTACCTCCAGAGGGAAGATTCTTGACAGCGCCGTAATAGGGAGCTTTGTCAACGACGACGGCGACGGTAGCGAAAACGGCACTATTTAAAAGACTTAAGTGTTGGTCGCGATTTTTTCGACTGGTGTAAAATCTCAGTCGAATGTAGGTGAATTTCCCTGGAATTGAATTCTTGGGGACCGCCACCAAGTTTAGAGGGAGAAAGAGAAATTTGTAGTCTAGTCGGTGTTTACGTCCGCCACGAAACGTCACTTGAGGGAATTTCACGTCGCAGTCGTGCAGTGACGGCAAAGAAATGTACAAAAAAGTGTGCTGCACGTGCAGAGTTCTTGTTTTTCCAATATAAACCTTTTTTTTTTGCCGTTCTCGTTGCCGTCGCCGGCTTTTGAGAAAAATAACGTCACGGACAGAGAGACCATTATATGGGCATGCACTGATAAGGTGGTATTGTTATCAGTAACTATGGTGTTTTCGTGTGGACGGGCAAAAGCGATTCAAAAACGCAACGTGTAGACGTCGATTTATTTTTTTTTTTTGAAAACTGAGAAAAAATCTCTGTTTTCAAGCAAAAACTGATATGTCTGAGCAGGGCCTCAAATTCATTTTGAATCATAAATCATATGCTCACATTGGAAACGTCAAAAAGCCAGCTTTTGAATATCTCTTACCTGTGCCAGGCTCTTAGATAGTAGGGAGGTCGCTTAGGTGGCAGGATTTGCGGGACAGTGCTGTTGTTTTTTGGTGGTGGAGCTGTGAGAAGTTTGGGGGAAAAGCAGAGAAAGTACCCCGCACATAACGATCCGGTCAGTTACGCAGGCTAAGGCCGAGCGAAAATAGATCGCGCGTGATCTGGGGAATGAGAGCGGTGTTTTGTCTTCCCCGCGCGTTTTTCCCGCCAGTTTTCACCATCTCTGCACATTACTGTCTTTGACCCTGGAACAGGCCAGATTCTCTTATGGTAGAAAATTTACTCTATCAGCTCAGTTGATAAAACCGTATTTAGTAATTGTTCCTCAATCACGATTTTCATGTGAAAAGGAGCGTAAAAACAAGCTTGTTTACACTGAAAATGGCAAGCGACAGATGGGATACGTAATTAACAGCGGGTTCTCACACAGCGATCACATAGTCTGAAATGTTATCCGTGTCTTCGCTCTACTCCTCAGCGGGTCTCTCTCGCCTTGCCGCCCGTTGGGGGTGGGGCGAAGTGACGGATGACAGTTCAGACTAACGATCACGCGGGAAGTAATAGAGCGTTTTCACATGACGTCATTGCGGCCATTTTGGTGTTCCAAAACAATGAAACGGTGGCCATGTTGGTGTTCCAAACAAATCCTGTAGGAGTTGGACTCTTATGCAGGTGGTGTGCGTCACGAGATTCGACCAATCAGAATGTATTATTTGTGGAGCGATTTTCGCGCTGGGGAAGAGCCGTTTTCAGAGGTGTATATGGTGAAATTTTCGATTTATTCCAAGCTTGTGTAGGTAATTTCCACACAAGGCTATACCGCCGTGGAAGTTGGTTGTTGGAACACTTTACCTTGATGGTAGTTAAGTTACTTTTAGATATTTTGCTTTCTTGAGCGTTTGTGACAAATTTGAATTGCTCGGTCATGTGCACGTCGCCATGATGATTCGAGTCTTGTTTTTGCCGTCCTTCTTGGATTCATTGCTGGTTACTGTTAAGAACGTATCTAAATTTGCATGTCTAGCCTCTCCCCATGTAACAGAATCCGGATTCCGGAATCGGGGAAATTTTTGCTTGTGGAAACGCCAATCCTGGGCTTTGGAATCCGGGATCCCACTAACGATAAGGATTAGAATCCGGAATCCAAGTTCCACTGACAAAGAATCAGGAATCCCGTACATGGAATCCGGAATCCTGAGTCCAGGGCGTGGAACCCAGAATCCACGATTGTCTAGGATTCCCTTCTAGTCTATTTGGTAATAAAATCATTTCAGTCGAACCTATTGTAGGTCTACATGTAGCAGCTCACGACTTGGACATTCCGTGGATTATAATTAAAGGCATTTCAGAGTACAAAGATGGCAGAAAATCCGGTACAGATTGCTGGAAAAAGTTCGCGAGTTTAATGACTGCCTCTCTCACCGTTCATATCCTCAGTGATCCGATGGTTTTTCGAGACTGGCCCCACTATACTGAGACAAGTAAGTACTACAACAAACTACCCGCGACTGGAATATGTCACTTGTGTTCACCCCCTTAATTTGTCAGTGCAAAAGCAAGTTGAATAAATCTGTTTATCTGATTACCTGGTCAAATAAAGGAATAAACAAATAAAACAACAACATCAAAACGGAACAAAAGAAAAGAAAAAAAGAAAAAGAAAAATTGTTCTCCAATGATCCTGTACATCTGTACACATTACCTATGAGATGGACCTGGCATGGGTTCTCTCGGAGTATTTGCCTTTCAAAAATTGTAAATGGTTGTCACTCAGTCAAACATATTTAAGTTTTTTCATGATTTTCACGTGTCAGCACACACACAGTTATTGTACTCAAAGGTTCAGAGTGGACCATAATAGACACTCGCTCGATTTAAAGGGTTTTATTAATTTTGCATGTCTTTATAGAGAGGTCTGGGTTCGAAATTAGGCAGTAGGCATTGAAGGAAATGTAGAATGTTTGGACAGTTTTGACGATGAATGTAGGCTTGACGGCGGTAAATGCGTTTTAAGCGTAAACAAGGATCTTCTTACTAATAAAATAGTAAAGCTAGCCAAACATTAGTCTGCATGTCAGGTACCGGTTTGTCATGGTTTCAATGGCTTTCAGATGGTGAACTTTTTGTGTTATTTGAAAAGGGATATCAGAAAACGATTGCCAATTTGAACGATCCTTTGACCGCAAGTACATTTTAGGAAGAAGTTGTATTTAGAGAAAGGAAAAGTGGAATAGTATTAATCTGGATGAACTGCAAAAAGTAATGTGTAAGGTCATAATTTGCTATGAATCTGTGATCATCAACAGTCGCCCCATGTAAGTGAATCCAAGACAGTCTCGGATCAACCCCGTGGATTCTGGATTAAAGGTACTGGTTTCCGTACCATGATTTTTTATCAGTTGAACTTGAATTCCGGATTCTAATCTCATTAGAGTGGGATTCCGGATTCTTTGAGCTGTATTCAAGATTCTAAGGCCCATGACAGCGGATTCCACTATCAAAAATTCCCTGGATTCCGGAATCCGAATTCCCTTACATTGGGCGACATTAATCGCTGCAAACTCGCCTTAAACTGTATTGTCTTCAGTCCTTATGACTAACTCACTCTGTGCTAACTTTTTTTTTGTTAAACGTCTTCTTGGAGGGTAGAACTTAGCGCATTTTGGTTTTCACTGACGGGTAGTTCTTGTTTTTTTGTAGCTGAGTAATTAAGCTGTAGTAGCTTGTAGAAGTAATAAGAAACCTCCGCATCAAAATAGTTTGTTAGCCTCCTGCAAATAGTACATCCTCCTTTTATATTCCGTCTGGGTAACATCCCCACACCACTTTTAACAACTTTTTTTCAACAGGTTAATACCAGATGTGCTTGGATCGGCGTCTTCCTAACCTTTATCAGCCATCAGTTACAGATTTTTAGTTTGAATTATCCTCTTATTTCATCCATTAGTTGGTTTGTAAATATTTTATGTCAACAAAAGGTCGGTGTCTATAAAATTTGTAAATAGACGTTCTTGTTTGATGATGTTGCTTGAAAGAGTTCAAAGAAAGGCGGCACGTTTTTACCTCCAGAATTACAACCGAACAGCTAGCATTATAGATATGCTTAGAGAGCTGGAATGGGATACTTTAGAAATGAGAAGAAAGAAAGACAGATTATTATCACTAATGTACAAACTGAGTCATAGTCTTGTAGATATTAAAACAAGGACACGTAGGAGCCATGCCTTGAAATATAGAAGTTCTCTTTTTTCCTTAGATCCATATGTGGTTGGAATTCTTTGCCTTCAGCGATTGTAAATTCTAAGTCACTTGACTGTTTTAAAACAAATTTACCTGCCAAGTGTTTTATTTCTTAAAAACAGTAAGTGTAGTGTCAAATGTCCAATCGACTTTACCGACGTAATGAAGTGTAGATTTAGAAGTAGATCATTTGTGTGTGCTCTTTTCTTTTTTAAAGTTTTACATTCTTTTTGTTCGGTACCAGACTCAAATCAGTTTCTTGCCTAGTTAGAATTGTTTACTCATGTTTAATGAACAAGTAGGAGTGCTCCATAAAAAACCGTTTCTCTAGATCTCTTCATTTTTTCCACAAATCGGAACATTTCTGTATTAATTTTCTCTACAGAATTCGAGGTCAAACTCATCTGAACATTAATTTTATTTTTTATTTCTTTTTTCCACTTTTTAAAACGAATTATTAGTTAGCCGTTTTTACAGTAAGGACACATTATCCGTCTGCACTGGACGAACTTAAGAGGCTATCCATGAGAAAACCATGCAAAAGGTGCTACAGTGCACATCACAGAATTGGCTCAAACTTTCCACATAGGCATAACTTGGTGAAGTATAGGTAGATATGGTATTAGTTTTGTTCAAGCTTCTTTCTTTTCTTTTTTTCAGGGGGGTACCCTTGAACAGCCAAATCTACACTGAAATATGTTCAAATTTTGTAATTTTTTGAATGACAATATTTCTGGCAAACTGTACAGCAATCCAGGTGAAACAAAATTCTCACAAACTACTAAGTATACACTCTTAAACGATGACAACATGATCAGTGTGACTCTTCTTTATTAAATTTTCCATAGCATTATTTAACATGACTTATGTTAATAAGAAAAATTATGCAAATTTCTTGAGTTTTCAAAAAAAAATAAAAAAGTTTTCTCAGAGCTTCAAGTAAAGTGAAATACTTGATGATTTACGCAGAGGTATTGTCTTTTGCTCTGGTATATAAAACTTCTGGGTATTGCAATAGTTTAAGAGAAATACCGAGGTTTTACTGGTCACCATTTGCTTACTGATCGTTTTACTGACTTACGATAATGCTACAATTCATAAGGATTGGTAACATTTCCCCAGTACTTTTGAAAGAAATTGCAAGAAAAACTTCCTAATAGGAGATTCTAACCTGCTCTGTACATTGTTATATTTCCACGGGATTATATCTGCCATAAAACCATCCAAAAGTGCACCTTCCATTGCCATTCAGAAAGACTGAGTGGTGCGATAAAACACAGGCAGCGGCTTATTTCTCAGATTTGGTGCCTTTGAAAAGGCCAACACTCTAATGCCCATTTTGATATTTAAATTGACAACAGTTATCATTTTCTGGACATAAACATTACGACAGAACGGCCACAACTCATGACAACAGTCAACCACAGCTCTTTCTTCCGCCATATTGCATTATGCGCCTGCAATGAAAAACTGACCTGCGGTAATAAAGTCCATTGTGTAATCAACGGGAAGTGTTCTTTTGTTTTTGCTTTGTCTGGCAATGGGTAAGCTCTTTTTTAAATTTATTTTAAAGCTTTATAAGGTGATATAATGAGCTGTACGTTGTATACAATGTATAAGAGCCAAGACATCTTCCAATATCACATATAATCATAACTATAACAAAATTCTCAAATCTGATTGGTTCTCAACTGCCCTGATTTCAGCCTTAATAGGACAGTTTAATAGGACAGTACGCGTCATGCCTAAGTAATTGGACAGTACGCGCCATCACGCGCGCGCTTAAATGGCTTTTTTCTTTCATTGCTAGCGAAAAAATCTTGGAATTTCTTGTGTTTTGATTTAAAAAGAGCCCTATATATCACAAATTTTGTTAAAGTTATGATTAATTGGTAACAGAACTTCGTGTCGTCCAATTCGGTCTGCCGAATCATACTCGTGATTAAACAAATCGGACTCCCGCTACGCGGTCGTCCGATTTTGTTAATCACTCGTATGATTACAGACCGAATTGGACTCCACTCAGTCCTGTTACCATTACACATAGAAAGAAATAGTTCGCCGTTGTTCAAACGTTGGATAGCGCTATCCACCGGATAAACATCTATCCAATGGATAACGCAATTGGTTTCTCTAGTACTTATCCGCTGGATACTGATTTATCCGGTGGATAGTACTTACGTATACCAACGTTTGAACAACCGGGTCCTGAAAATTGGTTGCAGAGCCCCGTGTGCGGAGATGGGACAAATTTTTAGTTTACAACAAAAAGTTTTCATTGTGAAGTGGACCTAGAGAGCACACGTTATATCGTGCATTGGTAACAGGTATCCCCTATCTAGCTGCTAATCGGCTCTGCCCCATCTTTTTCTCAACGGTTTTTAAGCTCCTTCTATAAGTCCACAACGTGAAAAACTTTCTCTCGCATGGACTCTCGTTCTCCTCTCTCAAAAAGGGCATCGAGCATATCTTCTTCCTCTATTACAGCCTTCTTGTTTAAAGAAAGCTTTCCACTCTTAGCGATCGATGAGAGACGTGAAAAGTATGATGTAACTTGTTGCGCGCTGAGCCAGTCTTTAGAAGAAAATAATTTGACACCATCTGGTCCACGAAGTGACTTCAAGTTTGAGGCAACAACGGCAGGGTCGCTCTTATTTCCTGTCTCTTCTCCATCAAGAAACAGTTTAAGGAGGTACTCTTTGACATGTTCTGAAAATCGCCCGGTCTTCTTGTTTTTCTTCAAGGCCCAGCCAGGCTCAGCAGTGGGGTACTCTCTGCACTCTTCTTGGCTCAATCCTTCAAGGTTCTTATTAAATGGAATATATGAAGGGCGTATGTTGGTGCATGCTTTAGCCCATTTACGCTTAATACTGTCATGCGTGGAATCCTTTTGGGTGCAAAAAATGTGCTTGCCAAAGTCCTGGTGGTTTTGCAACGCTGTTGTCGTTTTGAATAACTCGATGCAACCTGGTTGAGGGCAACTGAATTCACAAGGTTCTCTTTTGTTTTCCGTCGTTTTGCTGTTTTTGTACAAGAAGCCAGTCGACAAACGCGGGGATGTGAACGGCTCAATAACCTCCAATCGGGTACTTCCCTGGCTGGTCCCTCTCTTCATTAGCTTATCGTAAAGAACGAACTTTCCTTCTCCAACACTGAAGGCTTTCCACATCCTGATTCCGTCTGCGCAAAACTTGAAGTTTGAAAACATCAGTACTCCGTTCCAGTTGTGATTATGCAGATCCTGTGCGCTAGCGTCCACCTTTACAACTGATGCACGGCAACCTCTAACTCCGGAGTAAGAATCTATTGCTTTCTTCATATCTTTTGCCTTCTCGACATCATTTCCTTTATTGACGTACTGGCGTATATGACTTTTCAAAGGAGAAATATGGCGATCGCATATATCTTTGCCACTGTTTGATTCACTGAAGTCGTATCGGGTTGTAGTTACTTCTGTACGTTGACTAATACCAGGGATACTTAGCAATAAAAGAGCACAGTGATAACATCCAGCGTTCTCACTACGTGCAAACGCCTCGACAATCTCAGGTGACTTCCTCTTTATTTCCATAAGCGTGTTCTCATAAATAGATGCAACAGCAAACCAGTTCTGGCTGAAGTGATCCAGCAGATGAACGTATGTCTTTACCTATACATATGAACATAAGAAATAATGTTACACTATCGGCTCCATGACGTTAAATAAAGAACAACAGGAAAGCTCACTGAATACCTACTCTTCTGGTAATCCTATCTGTTGTCCACTTGTTGTTTCATCCACTGACTATAACTATGCCACTTATCTTCCTGCACTTCATAGCTAAAGATTTCAAGAGATTATTTTCTCAGTAGAATGTGGACCTACCTCCACTGTCAATACCTAATTTATAGTTGCATTTAACGTATTTTGCACAGCAAGTGAATGTGGATAACTCTACTGTTACTCAGGGAATAAGAAGAAAACTCAGCATTTCTTCTAATTAGGACACAAATTCGTCTACTACAATAGCTAAAACTGAAAAGTTTTTGGACATGCCCATAGTCAGATGTAGGATATGCCTGTA